CCGATACAGTCATCAATGTAACGGAGGAAGAGGTGGGGTTTAGGGCCGGTGTAGGTACGGAAGAGGGATTGTTCCACGTAACCTACAAAGAGGCAGGCGTAGCTTGGGCCCATGCGGGTACCCATGGCTACCCCCTTTGTCTGTAGGAAGTGGGAGGAATTGAAAGAGAAGTTGTTGAGTGTGAGGACGAGTTCGGCTAAGCGGATGAGGGTATCAGTGGAGGGGGACTGGTCGGGCCTGCGGGACAGGAAGAAGCGGAGGGCCTTAAGGCCATCTGCATGGGGAATGCAGGTGTAGAGGGACTGGACGTCCATGGTAAAGATGAGGTGTTGGGGACCGGGGAATTGGAAGTTCTGGAGGAGGTGGAGGGCATGGGTGGTGTCACGGACATAGGTAGGGAGTTCCTGGACCAGGGGGGAGAAATAAACAACTGCACCTCCCAGTCGCGAACCATTTCAACTCCCCCTCCCATTCCTCGGACGACATGTCCATCCTGGGCCTCCTGCAGTGCCACAACGATGCCACCCGAAGGTTGCAGGAACAGCAACTCATATTCCGCTTGGGAACCCCGCAGCCCAATGGTATCAATGTGGATTTCACAAGTTTCAAAATCTCCCCTCTCCCTACCGCATCCCAAAACCAGTCCAGCTCGTCCCTGCCTCCCTAACCTGTTCTTCCTCCCACCTATCCCCTCCTCCCACCTCAAGCCGCACCTCCATCTCCTACCGACCAACCTCATCCCGCCCCCTTGACCTGTCCGTCCTCCCTGGACTGACCTATCCCCTTCCTAACTCCCTACCTACACTCACCTTTACTGTCTCCATCCCCGCCTCTTCGACCTGTTTGTTTCCTCTCCACCTATCCTCTCCTCTATCCCTCTTCTATCCGCCTCCCACTCTCTCCCTATTTATTTCGGAACCGCCTTCCCCTCCCCCTTTTCTGATGAAGGGTCTAGGCCCGAAACGTCAGCCTCTCTGCTCCTGTGATGCTGCTTGGCCTGCTGTGTTCGTCCAGCTCTGCACCTTGTTGTCTCTAATATCAGAGAATGGCTCATTTGCACCTACTAACATTGAGTGAGTTCTTTCAAACTTTAATGAGTCTGCATTAGTGTGGCCCAAAATGTTAACATAAAACAATGAGTGATGGGAAGTACATAAGTCATTTAGTCTTACTTCTCTCTTGAATCGCTTTCCAATCACAATACATGAAACTATATACCTGACTGCAGGTATAGTATTCCCTTGGTTTATTATTATTCCTAGTAGGAAATCAAACTAGTTACACTCTACCTTGTAACTTGCTTTAACTCGATATCTTGTAATTCATGTATTTTCTCCTTCATTAGCTCAGTTGAAATGAATTTAAAATACATTATTTGAAACATCCTTCAGATATGTTTGGTTTCTCATTTCAAATACATAGCATGCACAGAATAAGTTTGCAGTGTCCACACCAGATAAGTAAAACAAAAGGAACCAGAAAAACAAGTCCAGCAAAACTAGAGAGAAAGCAATTTTCCATCTACAAGTAAAAGTCACTGCTTTAAAATTCTCTGACTAAGACACACCCTTTTTAGTAGTAGGATAGCAGATCATTTTCAGAAAATTACAGTACTTAAGTTTTACTCTCAAGTTCCATAGACATAAAATGTTGTAATGAGGTGCAAATACCATTTTGTACTTTATCACGTTAGACAGTCCTCAGAAAGACTGGCTTATGTCTGGTTCAATGTATCCTGAAATGACTTCAATCCAATGCACAATCTGCCTCATGAAGGTCAGGTACCGCTTGAAAAGTTGGGTAGATGGGTTGGCATCTGTGTCATCTCTCAAATGCCTCTTGGTTTTACCTCTGCATGTTCTCAAAGTCACTCCAAATGTTTGATATCCTCCCAAATGAAAATTCCCTATGTTGGGCGGTCACAAATCAGGGTTTTCACGAGTTGGTGAGTATTTTGACCTCTTCAAGGATACTTCGAAGACATCACCAAAGTGCATCCACTGTTCTCCTGGAAATTGGTTGAGGAAGGCAATCTCCAAGTACAGCAGTTGCTTGCAAATGTAACATCAGGCATATGAACACAACCTGGTGCTGGTTTTGAGTGAATGTTCAGGATAGAGTGCCTCAATGCTGAATAAGTTGGCTTGGGACTGGACACTGCTGCTGCAACACCTTTCTTGCCTCCATAATTGGAAGAGCTTACAAAGGCACCATGGTGGTACTTCTCCAAAGCTTTGGAGGTGCATAAGAACATAAGAACTAGGAGCAGGAGTAGGCCGTCTGGCCCTTCAAGCCTGCTCCGCCATTCAATAAGATCATGGCTGATCCTTTCGCGGACTCAGATCCACTTACCCGCGTTCTCACCGTATCCCTTAATTCCTTTATT